TCCAAAATTATCCTATTCTGAATGCCAGACGTAATTTTATTTGCATCACATGCTCCCCTATTCTGTAGTGGCTTCGTCGGTACCACAGGAGAAGCAAGGCGTTACCAAACACCCAAACAAGCCTCGTGGCACAGGAGGTTCTTGGGAAAACTGAGAATCTGATGTCAATGTCAGAAACCAATAGCTGAACCCACTTGAGCCAACTGGTAAAACTGAAGAAACTCCCTACGTAACGACACTGTGAAACTGCCAGACCTTTAACACAGGAAAGATCAAATTTTCAAATCAGATTTACTGCATTCTTTGTTTCCTATATTTGCAATTTAAAAAAAATCACACTAGGAAATTATATTAAACGCACTTTACAATATAAATATATGCATACATTATATATGTAATAGAGACAACATATATTTAAACTTTCATAAAGCAAAATTCAGAAATAGGAGGTAAACTCCACACAAAAATATATTTATAATACTTAGTTCCAGTCAAGATAAATTTACTATGGTCTCTTTCCAACTATGCTTGTTACTATTTACAAGAGGAAAAAAAAATAGAGAACAGTAAGTAAGTTTTTTGAAAACTTTAGACTCAGGCAACTACTAAGAAAAAAGAAGGGAGGATGTTTTGAATGGTATTTTGAATAAGTGCAAAATGGAGCTTTACTGACAAATGGTTTGGTATATCTGTTAATGTCAGATATAAAAATGTTTGAAATATGTCATTTTATTTCACATTGGACAGCTGAAGAACTAGCTACTGCATTGTCCTAACATAACTAAGACTATCACTGTCATTCACTGAAAACCACTTCTCTTTACCACAGGTCTCAAAATTAAAGACAAGTTTGTTTACTTTTTTTGATCCTTTACACAATTTGTTATGGTACAGTTCAACAAACAGGCCAGTTGGTTTCTTATCCTTAGCTCATCATGCAGCCATGTTAGGTTACGTTCAGGTTTTTGTTTTGGCTTTTTTACTTTCACTATAATTGGACCTTTTACATAGGCTGTACTCTTTATTCATTTCTGTTTGGCAGTATATTGAAATACACTTGGCGTTGTTAACAAACATCCAGCAATTATGATAATCTGACATACCATTTTGAAACCTATATTGAATTTTCTCTTCTTATAGACACTAATTGCATATTTGAAGTGATGGATTTTGTTTCCTCAGAAGCGTGCTTCTGGATCATTTATTTATCATAATTTGAGAATGTGGTATGACCTTATTTCTTCCATTTCTTGGGTTTCCAGAAATGCATCCACAGTGCAAACAAACATAAATCATGTGCCATCAACTAACTGCTATAAAACCATTTACACGGAAACAGGGTGATTCTGTCCTGTTTTCTGCTCAGCAGTCTGTGCTTAAGAAACTCAAGTGAAATAGAGAAATGACGGAATTAATTCGTACTTGATAGAATATATCATATTTAGCCGATTGTTAAGCTTTGGTGTATGCCTGGGGAACTGCAGGGATGCGTTATTTAGCCTCTTCACTAGAAGAAAAGCATTTCCCTCTCATTTTTCCTCACCTCCCCATGCCATTTCACCACCAGCCTCCCTGTCCCAACCCCAGGTGCGAGTCCTCAACTCCCATTCATCCCACACTTCTGCTGTCAGAAGTGTCTTGTGAGAGGTAAGAGATGAGTGACGACGGACAGAATCACACCCATGCAACCTGACGTACGCAGCCCATCCAGAAACTGCGGCAGATTGACGGCTCTGCTGCTCGTAGCTCTGCCCCTGCGCGGGAAGCGGACACCGGGAAGCGCCGCATACATCCGGGCACGGTGCTTCCAAATGGTTCCCCCCGGTCTGCAGAGCTGTGAATCGCCCCTCACCATCAGGTGCACATTTTATTACACTATTTAACTGTGGCCAAGTGACAGCTTACAGTAGTCACAACAAATATTTTTTTTTTTTTAAATGGGAAGAGGGTGAGGGGCGACTGTGTTGCAAGAATGACTGAAAGCAAGGACTTTTTCATATGTGCTAATTCATGGAAAAGAGGTGAAGGATACATCTACCCTCCCCCCCCTCCAGTATACATCCAGCATGATCTGGAATGCTCTGATTAGGGAAAATGGTTGCTCTGAGCCCTCAGTTTCAAAAAGAGAGCTATTTGAGTGACTGTTGCTATTACTTAAGGTAGTATCAGTAACACGCTATCTTCAGTCCTCAATAATTAAGTTTTGTTTGGCACTTGCATGTAACCACCAGGCCCAGTAACATCTCACCGAAGTCTCTAGGCATTTGGAGGTGTAAGGAATGATGGAGTAGATGCTAAAAATTTTTATTGTTACATCTCTCACCACGTTTTTACAACCTCCACCCTAGTTAAGCGCAGGTTATTTTGAAGAATTTCCTGCAACTTTTATTTCACTTAGGCATATAGTTATCTAGCATTTCAAATAGCGACAAAGTGCAGAAGATGGCTGCTAGCCACTAAATCTTGGAAAGCAGACTTTCTAGTAGGTTTTCTTTAGTTAGAAAACTTACAGAAATGTTCAGTGACTTTTTTCCACCAAAAATGAAAATTTATAGGTCTTCAAAAGCATGTCATGTCACAATATCCATATGCACAGCCTCATCGGAAAGATACCTGCCATATCCAGTGATTTCTGCATCAGGAACTCTGCAAGCAGTCCTGAGATTCCCCACGCTTTTAAGCAGGTGGCAGTGTAGGTTAAAGAGACATAGATTTTTCCTGCAGCTGATAGCAATTGTCACTTTCCAATTTCTCCGTTTGTCTTCACCCAAGGTGACAACATACAGCAGTGTTATCGGGTTCCTTTCTAGATGGGGACAGGCACAACTTCTGAAAAGTATGTTTTTGTTGACTCAAAACTATTCCATTTTTTCCAGGTGCAGCTTTGTGAGCTTTATTTCTCAGAACAAGACACTGCAGTAAGAGACATAACACGACCTCACTTCTTTAATACGTTAGCAGGAGAACCTATCTTCTGAAGAGGTTAGAGGATGTTACAGTGCAGTGATCCTCAAGGTCTACTGTTACAGTGACAGTTTTAATGAAAACGAATTCTGTGGTGTTTCTTCTGCTGGACCTTCACTTATGCTACTGACATAGACTTGGTGGGCAAAGCAATAAGTGATTTAAGTTATGTTTGCATATTTTGACCGCTTTTTTCAGCTATTTCAACCTTTTGTACATAAGATGTTGTATTATCTAGCATTTGCACCTATGAAAAGCTAGCAAGGTACATTTCTTTCAGATATGTCCCACAGTATTAAACTAAAATAAACAAAATGCAAGAACAGAGCTTAACTCAATGAACGGTAAGTGGCTTTGATCTCCTGCTAACACGGGAGTAGAACAACTGTTTTTCAGAAGCAATTTTTGAAGATGACTACAAACATGGCAAGAGTATCTGTCACGAAGTGGTAAGGCTTTTACTTGGAAATATGAGAAATGTGTGCGCGTGCAAGTACTTTCGTGGAAGCGTGAAGGTGGACTGGTGGACTGGTTCTGTGACAGGGGAATCAAGCTGGACCTAAAACTGAAGAAGAGTAATTTGTTTATTTTGGGAGTGCAGGATGGGTAACAAAGACAACTTCTTTGCATGAATCGGTTCTCAGATTGTTGAAACAGATCTGATTCTGATTTACACAAAATTTAGGATTTTCCATTGGGAACCAACCAAACTTGTGGGGATGCATCCAGCTGCTTCTTGGGGCATTGCAGAGTACATAGAAACTGAGAGTAACCAGGGATAAGAGGGAAGAAGGGAGGGAGGCAGGGAGGGAAAACCATGGTGGTAGCAGAGAAGAAAGCATTTTATATTCCTTGAACATCGCGAGATGAGATTCCCCAGCTACCCATTTAAAATCATGTTACCAAAGCACCCTGAGTGTCGTAGCGTGTTGAGCAGAGCTTCCACCAGTCACCGTATGCACTTCAGAGGGGCGAGTTACTCTCTTCCTTCTCTCGAACAACGTGACGCCCCAGCGACGGCTTGGGTTCAGTGCGAGGACCTGTAACTGAGCAACTGAAGTTGGGGGAAGGACCTGAGACTGAGACTTCGGGAGAAGGGCCCTGCTCCGTCGCTGGCCATCTGCCGGGTCTCGGGTCATCGCACCCCCTGTTTGCACTCCCGGTGTACAAAAAGAGAAGTGTGCCAGGGTCTGCAGATGGAAACATCCCCCAGCAACCCTCCCGTCATCACCTGCTCCTCTGCGACACGGAGCAGAGACGTAAAACCGAGTAACAACTGGAAACTACGCGACCACCCCCGCTCTGGCTCCTCCTGAAGCTCCCCAAGGACCAACCTTTCCTCCTTCCTCG